CTTATTTACATTTAAAGAGGAATATGCTATAGAGATTTGCATTGGTTTATTGATTCAAATTTAAGGTCAATTTTGTTATATGTGTATGTATTTCTGATCTTGATTAAGGTATTGTGTTTGTGCAGCTCATTTAAAAATGTAGTGTATAATAAAAATACAGGTTAATATATAATCATCTATAATAGTCAAGCTTATAGTCATGTTAGATTTTCTTGATATATAGAAATATATTTCTGTTAGATAGATATTCCTCAAATCTTTCAAAGACTACAGAATATGGCATTTAAATTTTTTTTTAAGAATTTAGGACTTTTATTGACAATGAGACACTTCTGCTCCTAGCAGCACCAATCTACTTCAAGAGGAAGATGGGCATTGAAGAGGCTCCTCATGGAATTTGTTAGCCATTTGGGCAAGAAGCTGCTCTTGCCTCGACTGCTTGACAGTATACGATATGAACTGGATATGCAGGACCCACAGAGAAATGACTGCTAAAGTTGTCTAGAGGTGAGACTGTCCTTTGGGGTTCCTGCTTCATGAAAGAGTCTACTAGACATTCTACAGGACACAGAAAAATGTGACTAACAAACTGCCAATATAGGCTGAACTGTCTTTGAAATTTCCTGCTTCATGGAAAAGTCTACTGGACACCATGGGCCTGTAGGCTGAAGATAGATGCCCCAATGGTACAGAAGAACTTTGGGTGACTGTCCAGGTAGGGGGATGTCTCTGTCAACTCTAGAGTTTTGGAAGTTGCTTACAATGAACTTCCTGTTTCCTTAGGTAATATTGTATCCTTCTGGCGTCTTTGATGGAATTGAAGAATAGATAGAAAGTAGATATAAATATTGTAACTGTAATTCTTTCTTGATACCTGTTTTGTTATGTGTAATTTACTATATTAAAGTTAAAAACATTTTCATTTAAACAGAAAGGGGGAGGTGATGTGGGATTCCCTCTATATGCTGTGAATATCATTAGTTAATAAAGGAACTGCTTTGGGCCTGTAGCAGAGCTATAGGGGAACAGAACTGGGAGGAAGAAGGCAGAGTAAGAAAGAAACAATGTAGCCCTGCCCAAGAAAGATGTTGGAACCTTGCTGGTAGGCCACAAACCTCATGGTGAAATATAAAATAATGGAGATAGGTTAATTCTAGATGTAAAAGCTAGCTAACAGTATGCTTAAGCTATTGGCCAAACAGTACTGCAAATAATATAGTTTCTGTGTGATTATTTCGGGGCTTAGCAGCTGGGAACCAACAAGTGGCCTTCCTCCAACTCCATTAGAAGAGGTAAATCACAAATTTAGTGTTCATATTTCTAGCACAAGGGGAGGAGGCAAACAGAAGTAGTAGTGATATACCCTAGTCTTTATTAGATTAAAAAACAAAAACTTAACTATAAGGCCTTTTAAAACAATAAACAATAAACAGTGTTAAGGACAATATCTTGTTTGTAAATAAACCACATTTATTTTTTCTGCTCTCATTATTAAAATCACATTGTCCAAGGGTGGAACTGTATGGTCCCTAAACCAACTTTTAGCCACTAGCTTGAGAGATCTATTTTATTTTGCATAGAAGTCTCACACTATGATTTCTCTAGTGTCCACATTCCATAAGAAAAACCCAGGACTGATTTAAAATGACATACTGTAGGGCAGACTGCCTATTGGAGAACTCTGAAGAATTTTTATGCATTTGTCTATAACAGACTTGTTAAAAAGCTTACTTAGAGTTCTCTGAAGTTATTTCCTATGTGAAGTTTACAATTTGAACAATTCATACTTGTTAGTGTTTTTTTTTTGTCAACTTGTCATAAGCTGTAGTCATCTGGGAAGAGGAACCTCAATTGTGAAAATGCCCCCAAAAGATTGGCTTATAGGCAAGCCTGTAGGGCATTGTTTTTTTGTTTTTTTGTTTTTTGTTTTTGTTTTTTTTTGATTAGTGATTGATATGGGAGGGCCTAGCTCACTGTGGATGGTACCAACCCTGGGCAGGTGGGTCTGAGTTGATAAGAAAGCAGACTGAGCAGCCTTGGGTGAGTAAGCCAGTAAGCAATATTTCTCTATGACCTCTCAGCTTCAGTTTCTGCCTTCAGGTTCCTGCCTTGAATTCTTTTCTTGACTTCCGTCAGTGACAGAGTGCGAACTGAGAGTTGTGAGCTGAAGTAAACCTTTTGCTCCTGAAGTTGCTTTTGGTCGTGGTGTTTTTACATCACAGCAATAAGAACCCTAAGATAAGCATTTGGGAAATATAGTATGCTTTTTTCCATATGTCCTTGTTTTAGTTACTGTGATTATCATATCTATGAAATATGACTAATATCTATGAAATTGCTTCTCAGTTAAGCTTTTAGAAAATATTGAACAGTAGAGAAAATTGGTTGTATTTTTGGATATGAAGCTGGTCTTTACAGCCCACATTGTCAGATCATCAGACAATCACGCTTTATCTGTTGAACAGCCTAGAGAAGAGGTAGAAACCTCTTTGCATCTTCAGCCATAAGAATTGCAGAGGTGGGGTAGGGCAGGGACCCTACTTTGGGCTTTGTCCTTCAGACACCATGTGGGGACTCATCAAGAGAGAAGTACATTATGAGGTCCTGAACTATAACTTACATGGTAAATGGGAATATGTCAAATAAAGACATTTGATTTTTGGCCAAATTTTGACTATTTGTTACTGTCTAAAGAGAATATTGACAAAGATTATTGAAACCAAGCCTGTTTTTTTTAACAACCAAAAGGCTTTAAGAATGGAGTACAGTGCTAAGAAATGGTATGAAGTCTGTACAAATGAGCTGCAACATTTAACAACAGTCTCTGCAGATAATCTACATGTATGTACATGCATGCAAACACCTGGTTTCATAATGCAGTTTAGAGAACTTGTCCCACTTTTTCTTCAGAGGAGTACTAGTAGTGCACTTAGATGCTAGAGGACCACAGTTCTCCAGTGTCCTTAAGTTCACAATCTGAGCCAAGTAAAAGAAAAAGTAGACTGCAAATTTATTGTTTACAACACTGTGACCCTATTATATAAATCTCACTGTAAAAATTTCAAATAATGACAAATGATATTAATAAAAGTTTTATATTATGCACAGAGTTTTAGTGAACACATTCCTCCAATTTATGTATTAAACCGTCTCATATTTCTAAAACTGGCAGGTCATTGAGTTCTAAAATTTGTTACTTGGTGGTCCTGCTTTATCTTAGAACTGCTAACTTTTGACATTGTTATTATGTGAATTCTTAACTTAAATAAAATATCTTCAAAGATCTGGGTAACATTGTGTCACGGTTTTAATTTTTTGATGTTCACTGTTATAATTTAAAATTCTATACCCTTTAAAGTATTTGGGCGAATTGTTACTAGTATTTAAATCATTGTGAAAGTTTGTAACTATGAAAGAGAACTGAAATGGGGTGGAAAATACCATGATGTATCACACTGTTAATTTATGAGATAAACTGAGTAGTTGAGATAAAGCTTATAAAATTTAATCTACCTTTGAATCCAAATACAACACCGTGATTGCATATTTGTGTTTGAACATGTCTCCCCCATATTGGTCCCAGACTTAGGTGGTTGTTTTTTGTTGGGACAAGTCTTTAGGACCATTTTCATGAATAAAATTTAGTTTTGTGCTTTATGAATCCCTGATACCCAAGCCTGGAATAAGAGGGCTTAGGTTGGAGAAAATGTATAGTAAAGTACTTATTTTTTTCTGATATTGAGAACATCTTTAAGGTGTTAAAAACAAGTCAGTTAGTGAAATGTTTCAAGTATGCCACCCTGCTTTGTTTGTTGTAAGGAAAAATACAACACTACCACTTTATAACTTAAAACACACATGAGAAGTCATGATCAATAAAGAATTATGTTGAGAATAGTGCAGGCAAGATAATGGTAGCATTTTGACAGGGAACTTTTAATGTGTGCTTGGAGGCTCACTGTAGAGAGATGATGTAGGCTGGAGACAGGAGCTTCTTTGGTCTAGGAGTTTGTGGATAGAATTTGAGGTGAAGAGAAAGCCGAGAGGACCCAGGTGAGAAAGAGGAGGTGTGTACTTGTGTGTAGTGAAGGGATAAGTGAGAAGGGCTAATGTGCACTGCTTGAAGCATGTGCATCCCATGTGATGTAGGTGGGTCTTCTGTCTATGTGTTACTTTCATTGGTCAAATAAAGAGACTGCCTTGGCCTTTGATAGGACAGCAGCTTAGATAGGCAGAGTAGACAGAACAGAATGCTGGGAGAAAGAAGCAGAGTCAGGCAGATGCCATGGAGCCAGCCTCCAGGTCAGACATGCTGAATCTTTGCCGGTAAGCCACGACCTTATGGTGACATATAGATTATTAGATATGGGTTAATCAGGATGTGAGAGTTAGCCAATAAGAGGCTAGAACTAATGGGCCACACAGTGTTTAAATGAATACAGTTTCCATGTAATTATTTCAGGTAAAACTAGCCAGGCAGCCAGGAGTGGGTGGAATGAAAAGCAGCCCACTACTCCTTTTACAACCATGTGTCTTGACAGGCTGCCTATGTGGAAGGAAGGTTGGTTACCTTTGTGTAGCTGTGGTTACAAGCTCAGTTTCTTGATTTTTTTTTAAGCTTTTTGGCAGTAATTGTTTATAGTTTAATGAATAAAAGCTAAGCTCTATCCGAACTATTTCAGTAACTCTTCTATTACTCACAGTGACCCTTTGAGGTAAGCACTGTTATTTCTACCATTTTACAGGTAAGAAAACAGTGGCATGGGGCACTTAAGTGTCTTGGCCAAGGCCTGAAGACTAATTAATTGAAAGCTGAGTGTCACAGCTACATAGGCTGACTAGAAGATGAAAACAGTTACCAGGAGTTTCATATTGTGAGAGAAACTACTTTGCCATGGAGTTGTTCAGAAATCCTGAAATTCACATTTGGTGTCCTGAGTACATAGTTGTAGTTTGAGGAGGTGAAGTGACAAAAAAGATCTGGGTGTACATATACATACCTGTTCTCACCTTTCTGTCTCTGTTCGCCAGGGCTTCAACTGCTCCCTCCCAAGTACTGCATCTGCTTGGTCTATTCCTGTCATCAGCAAAACTTTAATTACATAGCAACTACAGTTTCCTAGTCACAGGTATACAAGGTTATGTAAGACTTTGTCTCCACTATAGACTTTAAGGTTCTAGAATGTGTTTATGACTTCAGATGATCTTCCTGACCCAACCCCACCTAGCTCTCTGTCTGTTTAGGGTGCTTGAAATTGTTTTCAGAGTGGTGGAGTGAACTCAGTTTTATAGGTAAACCCTGAAAGCAGCAGTACCTTATTTGTGGCACAGTTTCTGTGAATGGGAGCATTAAGATCTTGTCAGATGGTGTTTATAAGTGAGCAGTAAATGACTACTACTTACTGCCTTATTTTTAAATTTGTTTTTACTTTGGAAAGTTTCATATATAAATACTATGTCTTTTCTATCCTGGTCTCTCTCCCCCCCAGCCCCTTCTGTGTACCTCCTACTCTCTCTCAAATTCTTAACCACCTGTTTAATTATTGTTTTATATATATGTGTGTGTTTATGTGTGTAACGTGTGTGTATATACATACACACTACTGAGTCCATTTAGTGTTATTCCTGTTCATATGTATTTAGGGCTGACCATTTGGGATTTGATAAATCTATCAGGAGGCTTGTGCCTGGAGAAGACTGATTCTCTCACTCCTAACAGCCATTGATTGCCTGTAGTCCTTCATTTGAGGGTGGGGGTCTTATGAAATTTTTCCCACCCATATTGGCATGTCAGCTAGTGTTGCGTCAATGTAGGTTTTGTTTAGGTGATCATATTGTTGAGATTTCATGGATGCAGCTTCTTTGTAAAGAATAGAAGACATTATCTCACAGCAGACGTCCTGGTTCATTAGCTCTTCTGCCCCTATTTTCCATAATACTCCCAACTCTTAGATGTAGGAGTTGTGTTGTAGATGTATTAATTGGGGGTGGGCGTCACACAGTCAGCCTTTCTCTGCATTTTGACTAGTTTACCAGACCTTTTTAAAGGTTGCTAGGCCTGAAGTAGGGGCAGTGTATAAGGTGAAGAGTTTAGGGAGAGAAGACAGAGTAGCCCTGTTACTATTGTAAAGACTAGAAACTTCTTGAGGGTTTTGCCCAGAATGATCTGACCTTTGCATGTTTTCTGTTGAGCAGGGAGAAATAGAAACTGGGTCCCGAATACTTGATGATAAACCTGTGAAACAGACCCTGGAAGGTTATATATGTGTTTTTGGTGTGTGTATGGGGAGAGGTAGTATATGTGATGTGTGGTGTTTGTGATATGTGTGTATACAAGTTTGTGTGTTGCGCCTGTGTACATGTGGAAATCAGAAATTGACCCTGGAACCATTTATCAGACTCCACTTTATTTTTTAAGATAGTGTCCCACTAAGCACAGAGCTCTCTGATTGGCTAGACTGACTAGCCAGCAAGCTCTAAGGATCTACCTGTCTACCTCCTTCCTCCAGTACTGGGGTTACAGATGAGGACCACAGCACCTGGTTAGTATGATGGTTCTAGGGATTTGAACTCACGCACTCATGAGTGGCAGTAAACACTTTACTAGCTGTGCTGTTTCCTGAGCTCTATAGATGTACATATTTTTTCCTTAACATTGCTGATCATGTAAAAGGACATTGTCATACCACTTGTTAGGTTATTATGATTTATGTCCCAAGAGATGGTTGTGACACATGTTCTTATTGAATGTAGGATCACTCTTCTTTACTAAAGGTTTTTAGCTGTGTCTGGTTAGTTCATCCCATTTATATCTTTGTGGGACTGCTATTCTTATGAATTAGGGATTTTACAGATTGATAACTATATTGTCATCATAGAACCTTCATCTAGCAACTGATGGAAGCAGATGTAGAGATACACAGCTAAACTCTGAGCTGAGCTCCCAGAGTCCAGTCAAAGAGAGGGAGGAGCCATAATATGAGCAAAGAGGTCAAGATCATGAAGGGGAAACCCACAAAAACACCTGACCTGAGCTAGTTGGAGCTCACTGACTTTGGACTGACAGCAGGGCAACCTGCATAGGACCAAACTATACGCCCTCTGAATGTGGTGACGGTTGTGTGTCTCGGGCACACTAGTAGCTTTGGGACGAGGACTTATTCTAGTGTAACATGAGGGCCTGCTTGTTGGGGTTTCTGGCCTCCCACCAGGTCCTATAGCTGTTTAACGCCAAAGAAAATCATACAGAGGTCTCCATAAGTTATAAACTGATTGGCCCATTAGCTCAAGCTTCTCGTTAACTCTTGTAACTTCTATTAGCCCATTATTCTAGTATATGTTAGCCACATGGCTCGGTACCTTTTTCAGTGGGGCATTTCCCATTTTACTTCTTCCGTGGTCTGGGCAGGACTGGGGAAAGAGCTTCCTTCCTGGAATACTCCTATTCTCATTGCCCCACCTCTACTTCCTGTCTGGTTTTTCTGCCTATACTTCCTGCCTGGCTATCAGCCAATCAACGTTTATTTAAGATATAATTGACAGAATATGATTGTCCCGCGCCACCCTAGTGCTTGGATTGGCATTTTGAAGCCCATTCTCTTTGGAGGGATACCTTGCTCAGTCTAGATACAGTGGGGAGGGCCTTGGTTCTGCCTCATAGTGTTGTGACAGACTTTGTTGACTCCCCATGGGAAGCCTTACCCACTCTGAGGAGTGAATGGGAGGTGGGGTGGAGGAAGGTCGGGGGAGCAGGAGGAGAGGAGGGAGTGGTAACAGAAATTGGTATGTAAAATGAGAAAAGACTGTTTTAAAATAAAAAAAAGAATTAGGGGTTTTAAGTGGCACATGCCTTTAATGTCAGCACCTACAGAAGCAGGCTTATCTCTTAAGTTTGAGGCCTGCCTTGGTCTGTGTATCAAGTTCCTAGATAACCAGGGCTACATAGTGAGACCCTGTCTCAAGACAACAAAAAAAGGGATTTAATGATGTAACTAATTGTAGATATGATTTAGGATGCTATTGGTGCTGTTTTCTTCACGTCACATAATCTTTTCCTAGATGTTTTTGTTAGGAAATAGTGTGGCATCACCCACTTATTTAATTTCTAAGCACTTACTATATCCTAAATCCAAAATAGAAAAAATGGGAAATACAGTTTGACAGTTTGCATTTAGTTGGGGAACTAGCCACACATGTATAAAATTATGGTAGAAATAATAGAAAATAATACACAATATAATGGAACTTCGCAGTTTATAAAGTTTACTACATACATCTGAGTTGAATAGGCAGCTATTTTTATATTCACAGATGGAAAATGGCTTGCTGTAGGCTCAGAAGAATTACCACATGTACTTTATCTTTCATACTTTTTTCTGTTGCCTGTCTGGGGGGAACAGGGAAAGAGGAGACTACATGAGAGGTGAGGGCACAAATGTGAGTCTCTGGGCTGTTCCTGATGTGTTCTTCCTTTTACTATTTCTAAGTCACCTTATTGCTTAACCTCCTGCCTTCCTTCAGTCTTCACTCTGAATTTAGAGGTATGTCATAGAGTGAGGTGTCTGCTGAATGTATTACTCAATGTCAAGCAGGCTCTTGACTTTGTTTTTGCAGTCTAGCTACAAGGCCACATTTCAGTGATATGCAGACATGCAGGACTGACGAGAAGGAGGGGTGACTATATTAGCTTCTCATTGCCCTAGTTAAATACCTAAGGCAGGCTACTTAGGAAGATTTTGTTTATTTAACTTACATATTTGGGGGTTCCAGGCACAGTATCTGCATGGGCCTAGTTCTGTGCAGGGTCCTTATGGCTGTATCACATTATAGTATATGAAAATGGAATAGATAGTACAGGAACAGGTCATTACTCACTTAGGTTACTGTAATTAACATTTCAGAGTTATTCCTAACTGAAGATAACATCAAGAAAGAGAGCAACCCAGTGACCATACGCTTGCTTCAGAGACCAGAGTTTCTTCCAAGGACATAGTTCCCATTAGGCCCCACCTCTTATTGATACCATATTCTCTCATGTTGTTGTAATGGGAACCAAGCACCCAACTATGTCCACACTATAGCAGGGACTTTCAGCTTAGAAACTTGAAGGTAAAAAGCAGGTGAGACTAACTGTGATGAGAGATGGTGTTAGAGAGACAGGATGTGTAGGCAGAGCTGTGGACTTCAGTCTGTGTGTATTGAGCTCTTTGTACAAGTTTCTGACTCTTCTGACTTCAAAGATCTGTTATGTAGGAGGTGCTTGATGCTCAGATTTAAGTATATCTATCTGCTGTTTGGAATGATATAAATATAATTGCCCCTTATTAGTCTGTTTTTTTAAGGTAGCATTCTGAATATTGTGAATTAAGAAATCAATAGCCACCCTTAGTTAATTCTGAGTACATATATCTAGGTTAGTACTATTCTGTTTCAGAGATATGAAGAATTAAAGTTCAAACCAACTGAATTTTGTTTAGTTGACTAACATTTTTTAAGGACACAGTCCATGTGACTTAGATTACTCAATAGGAACCATTCTTGTAATTTTTTCATTGTGCTCTAGTATATTTGGCTCTTTTTCCATATAGGATCACAGCCTTTCTGCTTTTGTCATGTGTGAGTGTACATGCCATTTTCTTTTAATGAAACTTTATTCAGTCCCTGATTGTAAATGAGTAGCAAAATTACAGTTATGAAGTAGCAATGAAAATGATTTTATGGTTGGGGGTCACCACAGCTTGAGGAACTGTATTAAAGGGTCATAGTATTAGGAAGGTTAGAAATGCTACTGGCATTTAGAGATGCAGGCATTCTGGTGGCAGAATTAATACTATGACTTGCTCTCTTGTACAAAATGAGATATAGACGAATGAAGATTAAGATTTAGAGTCCTCGGAGGCAGCTGGAGAAACCACAGTAGTCATTTAGAACTATTTTTTTCTGAGGCCCTGCCATCCCACACTGAAGGAGGTAATTGGAATGCAGGAGTCATAGCTAGTATTTGCACAGACAGGCTTTAAGGGTCTATCTACCTGTGCTGCTGTATTTTGTCGGGTGGTGTATTGGTTACTCAGTGGGCAGTGGTGAGCTTGCAAAGGTTTCTGAGGAGGTATGAGTTCTCATTGCTTGTTCCCTGTGTTAGGTTTTCAAGCTGCTGAGTTCTGAGTTCCTGAAAATGCTTGGTCCTCAGCCTTCATTGCCCTCTGTTCCATTCCCATTCTCTTTTCTTCCCCTTGTGTCTACACTCAAGTTTCCTGGAGATTTATCTGCACACAGTCACTACACTTGTGTCTTGCCCACCATTTTTCTCTTACACATGCTTCTAGACACTACAAGGATAGTTATCTCAGGAATGGCAGTGCTTGGTTCCCTACTCCTTCTATGAGCTTCTGACTTTACCTTATCTTTTCTCAACCAGTCATTTTTCCCTCCAGGGACTATCTGGAAATGTCTGAAGACATTCTGAGCTTTAAAATGGAGGGAAGAAATGTTACTGGTAACAATGAGGTGAGAGGCATTAGAGGTGAGAAGAATGTAGCTAAATACCTTATAGCACAGGGTAGCTCCTACCTCAGGAATTATCTAGTTCCCAAATTGTCAGTACTGCAGATGCTCTGAAATACTGGTCTTGTTCAAGGATATAACACTAATCTCCGTTCTTAAGTATTTTCCATGACTGATTTGACATAATTTTCTCTTGACTTGTCTTACAGTAAATTCTGTTTCTGCTTTACTGTTCTCTGTAGCAGACTTGCTTGTCACAATTCTCTTCCCAATCCATTTTTTATGTTTATGCTTCATACTCTCTTTCCATGTTTCTTGGGTCTCAGGAATTTAACCTGCATCTCTGAATGTGTGATTCCATCTGTACTCAATTTTTGAACTCACCTGGACTCTGGTCATACCCATTACACAGGTACTTCCTGCTCATCAGGTCCCAAATAGGGAAGTCAGTCAGATCATTGCTCTTCTGTGTTTCCTGCACTGACAGATATGTGACACTGCTCCCTAAGTTCAGGCTTTTACCTGATCAACGCACTTCTTTCTGTCTGCCCCAAGTACCACAGTACCACCACTGAAGGTCTGGAATCTAAAACAACTTTTAAGTCTCATAGTGCTTCCTTGCATCATATTTACAGCAGATGTGTTTTAAATACCTCTGTATAGCACTTGGACCCTTTTGGATCAAGCCCAATGATTTCCAGTTGGGTAGACCTGGGGGTGCAGCACACTGGTAGAGCACGTACCTAATATGGAGCAAGGCCTGGAATCCAGCCCCAATAGACCATCCCCAGATCATAGGAAGTTGAGGTGGGTGGGGTTATACAGGTCAAATGCTCAGGACACGTAATATACTCTATAAAGAAGTGTCCAGATGCCAGTAGTGCCCTTGTTAAGCAATAGTAAATTTTGCTTTTAGTTTTACTTAGGGAAGTGAAGAGAGAAATGCTGAGCACTAATCCTGGCAGGAGACTAAAGAGGAACAGCATGGAAATACAGACTGGAACTTAAGGGGAATTAATAAATTATGTTAAAAACTGTAGAAGTGCAAAGAGACCACTTGGGCTAGCCTGTTGCTTTGTTGTTTGGTGTGCTAGTCTTTTCTGGGCAGGTAATCACACTTAGCCTCTGCACACATAACTGGCAGCTGCTAGTGTGGGCCTGTGGCATCATGTCTTCTTCCTTGGCATGGCCAGAACTATGTCTATTCAGTTCTTGCCTTGCTAGATTCTTAATTTCCCACTTTGGAAACATGTTTTGCTAATTTTACTACCTCTTGCTTTAGAGCTTCAGCTAACACCTTAAAAAACTTCTTTGACAAATAAAAATGCCATAACTGTATAGAAAGATTTCCATTCATGGTAATAACAGTAGTAAGCTTTATATGCTAGGTACTGTGAACTCTCTAAGCATTAGTTCTCACTAAAAACTATAGCCTGTGTTATATAAATTTAAACACACACACACACACAATATACACATTTTTAAAAGTATACCATCCCACTTTCTTGGGGCTAGTATTCTTTGGAATTGAGACTTACCCATTTGTCTCTTTCCCCACTTTAAAAAATAAATATTATTTTTTAGGGCAGATTGGAACAAAATTGAAAATACAGTTAATGTGCATGTACTTTCTATTTTCACCCCTAAATTGAGCCTCTCGCCCCACCGTCAGTTTTTGCACACAAACTGTGTCTTGAGCCTCTGTTGATACATAGCAGCACTCAGTTCTAAAGCTAGGTTTTAGGGTTCACTGCTGGTGTTTGTGTGCTGTGGATTTTGATAAGGGTACAATGATACACAGTTTCTGTCGCGGTATATCGTAACAGAGTAGCTGCACTGTCCTAGAAACACTTTCATCCTTCTCCTCTTCTCTGGTGACCCCGATCTTGTTAATGTCTTCGTCACAGGTGGTCTTGATGATTTTAAAAGGCATATTCTAAGTCCAGGTGCTAGGTAGTTGTTGAGAAGCTGTAGGAATCTGGTGTCTGTCAGTCTCCATGCCAACATATACCTCTTAAGAAATGGTCCTGCTTTGTTACTATGTTTTCTTCACTTCTGGGAACCTGCTAGCTGTTTGGACTCTGCATGGGTAATGTGTGTAAGACTGCAGAAGTACTTCTCTGTTGCTTTCTGTCTGAATACTATAAGAGAATGATTGTTTTCAGCCAGGTAGTGGTGGTGCACACCTTTAATTCTAGCACTCGGGAGGCAGAGGCAAGTGGACCTCTGAGTTCCAGACCAGCCTGATCTACAAGAGCCAGTTCCAGGACAGGTTCCAAAGCTACAGAGAAGCCCTGTCTCAAATATTAAAAAAAAAAAGAGGAGGGGGGAGAATATGGTTTTTTTTTTTTTTCACATCTGGACAGTGGAATTCTGTTTAGGCCAATAGTTAGTTTGCTCAGACATCCTGCCATTAGTATCTGATGACTATAGAAGAAAAGTTGAGATGAGACTAGTTTATTTTCTCAATGCTATTTGCTGTTCAGGACAATCTAAAACCCCTGATAAAGCATTTAGAGACACCGCCAGAACTGGTTGGTTTAGTAGCTTCATATTAATTCCTATCTGTACTGTAGTGACTCATTTTTAAATGAACTGTGGAACTGCCTGTTATTATACCCACATCTTGAGAAAACTTTATACTGCACTGTCAGAAGGCCTGGAACACAGTTGATCTATGAAGGATTTGAGTTTCTTGAAACTTACCAGTATGTTTTTCAGCAGATATTCAATAATAGAAAATAAATTCCTTTGAGACAGCATCATATTAGAAGAAAGTGATGAATGTTTCTGAATCTGCCTGGTGTTTGTTCTAGTAGTTATAACTGACATGAATTGGCCAACAGTGATAGATTGGCGTCTTCATATTCTATGTACTGACTCTCCTTTATTCTTCTTTTAGAAGCTCCTTGTGCCACGCCCCTGATCTGCAGCTTTGGGAGGCCAGTGGACCTGGAAAAGGATGACTACCAGAAGGTGGTGTGTAACAACGAGCACTGCCCATGCAGCACTTGGATGCACCTGCAGTGCTTCTATGAGTGGGAGAGCAGCATCCTGGTGCAGTTCAACTGCATTGGCAGGGCCCGCAGCTGGAATGAGAAGCAGTGCCGCCAGAACATGTGGACCAAGAAAGGCTACGACCTGGCTTTCCGCTTCTGCTCCTGCCGCTGTGGGCAGGGCCACTTAAAAAAGGACACAGACTGGTACCAGGTAAAGCGGATGCAAGATGAAAAAAAGAAGAAGTCTGGGTCAGAGAAGAACTCAACAAGGCCTCCAGGGGAGGCTGGGGAGGAGGCAAAAAAGTGCAGACCCTTGAACAAGTCCCAGAAAGGCCTGAACCATGACCTTCCCCGGCGGCATTCCATGGACAGGCAGAACTCCCAGGAAAAAACAGTTAATGCTGCAGCCTATGGGGCCCGCTCCCCCTGTGGCTCCCCTGGCCAATCCCCACCCTCTGGTTACTCTATCCTCTCCCCAGCCCACTTTAGTGGTCCCCGCTCCTCCAGATACCTTGGGGAATTCTTAAAGAATGCCATTCATCTTGAGCCTCACAAAAAGACCATGCCTGGGAGCCATGTGTTCAGAAATGCCCACTTTGATTACAGTTCGGCTGGGCTGTCTGTACACAGAGGAGGACACTTTGACACCCCTGTACAGTTCCTGCGGCGATTAGACCTCTCTGAACTCCTTGCTCACATCCCCAGGCATAAGCTGAACACTTTCCATGTTCGGATGGAAGATGACGCCCAAGTGGGCCAAGGCGAGGATCTACGGAAGTTCATTCTTGCAGCCCTCAGTGCCAGCCACAGAAATGTTGTAAACTGCGCTTTGTGCCACCGGGCACTTCCTGTGTTTGAACAGTTCCCACTAGTGGATGGAACTCTGTTCTTAAGCCCCTCAAGACATGATGAGATTGAATATGATGTTCCTTGTCACCTTCAAGGTATAGGTGTTGATTCACCTTGCCTGCTTTCTGTTTGTTAACACCCAAAAAGCAAACAAAATGGAATTGCATTTTTTAAAATTTAATTACAACTGACATATTTTTGTTCTAGCCAAGGGCTAGGTAACATGAATATTTCAGCTTCACCCAGTGGGTTGGTGGTTTTTGTACTCTGATGTCACTGTACTGGGTACAGGTGGTCTGTTGGGTAATTTTATGTCTTTGTTGTGTGCTAATTTGAAGAAAGGACCACTAATATTTAGCTTTTCACAACAAAGTAAAAATTTAGAGAAGGAATTACATTATTCTCTTTGCTGTGAAATGGTTTGAATTCTTTAATGTGCCTAGCAGGCTGTGATCCTTGTAAACTGGGGAAGCGGGAAACAAGAAGGGCCCGAATGACTTCTTAATTGAATTAATTTTAAAAATGTGAAAGATAAGACTATTGATAGCATCAAAAGGAAAACGGGGGATGATTGAAAGTCCAGGCATGACCTTGGTTAAGGGAGTGTAGTGGTTAGCTTATATGTTTGACAAAGACTTGAGCACATTTTAGTTATAAATTGAATGGCAAAGAGTTGGTCAGTATAGGTGTGAAATTAAAACTTCCAAAAGGAAGAAATGCATGATAATATGAGTTTATAACTTTAACAGAATGCTACAGAGTCAGATAAAAACGACTCCTGCCTTCTTCCCTTTAAACCCTGCTGTTTCCACCCCCAGAGCCAAACACTTAGAAATGCTAACTGATTCTTCAAGGCTTTTGACATCAGGATTTTAAATAGTTATTTTCATTTTCCAGTTTTAGATACTGTCTTCTGCCTATACTGGGTTTAAGGTGGATGACTACATATCTCCCTCAGGATAGATCCCTAGTGTTTATGCTGTTAGTGGTGTTGAACCAAGATATATACTCCCATTATAGAAACAGTCTTGTCAAGGGCACTGTTTTAAATGAAAGTTCTTTTCTTCATGTTTCCACTGCCTTAAATTTTTAATTTTGTTTTGGGAGGCAAAGATCTTGCTGTGTAGCCCAGGATGGCTGCAGAATCATAGTTCCCTGAGAACTGATGCATTAAGAGCTAACTGTTGGTGTAGAATCTGAAGGGTCAAGTGCCTGAGAGTGGTGGTTTTATTTTTTGTTTTGTTTTAACTTTGGAAGGTTGCTCTCTTTCAGCAGCTTTGTAAACCACTTCTACACACTTAACATAATTTTTGAAATTTTTTTCTTCTGTAAACATCTCTATTCTGCCTGGAGCACTCAGGACCATAGTGTTCTGAAATCCCACCATCATGTGGCTCCTCAGCCCCTCCTGCCTTCATATATAGTCTCTGGCAAGACATTCAAAACCCTAGTTATTTTGAAAACCACTACATAATTCTGTTGACTTATAGTTGCTACAGTACAGTGAGACATTAAAACTTTTACTCCTAACTGTAAGTAGTTGTGTGTCCTTTAACCAGCTTTTTCTCACTCACCTCATCCTCCCTCCCTTTCCTAGCCTTAGGTAGCCATTGTTCTTCTTTACTCCTATCAGTACCTTTACAGCCACAACTATGTGAATCACATGATATTAGTCTGACCTTGGAATATTTTTATTACTTAACACAATGTACAGGTTTATCCATTTTATGGCAGTATGACTTGTTGTGTGGCTTTTTACTCTTTTGGTGGTGCTTACCACACAACTCTCAAATAAATCACATGGAGTCTTATTAGTTTTGAATTCCTGGCCTTAGCTTGGCTTCTCCTCTTCCTCCTCCTCTTCTTCTTTTTTTTTTTGCCAGCTTTTCTTAACAATTATTCTGACTTACCTTTTGCCTCTGGGCTTTTCTCTTTCTTCATTTGGTATATCTTACTTTGTTTCTTTCTCCGTGACTTGCTGTGTAGCTAGGTGGTTGGCCCCTGATGTCCTCCTTTTCTGGTTCTCTCATTGCTCTTTTTCAGAGAGTATTTATATTCTCTGCTTGCTAGCCCCACCTATCCTTGTTCCTGCCTCGCTAGTGACCGTTCATCTCTTTATTAGGACTATCAAGTGATTTAGACAGGCACAATAACACAGCTTCACAGAATTAAAGAAATGCAGCATAAACAAAAATCACACCTGAAAATAATATTCCCAACAATGATTAAATTTCTTTTATGGCTAAATATGTGTATATATGTATACATACAAGAGTATTTTCTCTGCTCATTTGATGGACTCTGAGTTTGAGTCCATAGCTGTTATGAGTATTGCTGCAATGACTGTGGGAGTCCAAGTACTTCTGACATACTGATTTCATTTCCTTTGGCTGAATACCCGTAGTCTAATTTCTGGATCATATGGTATTCTAATTAAAATTATTTACATATTCTATTGTTATTGTTAGGTAACTCATATTTTTGTTTATTTATTTTTGAAAGATGATCTTACTATGTATGTAGCCTTGGCTGGCTGGAACTGGCTCTATAGATCAGGCTCGCCTCGACCTCAGAGATATTAGCCTAGCTCTGCCTCCAGAGTGCTGGAGTTAAAGATGTGAGCTACTATGCCTGGCTCAAATTTTAATTTTTTAAGGGAGTTCTGCTGTTTTCTGTCATGATTGTACTACATCCCATTGGTAGTGGGTGAGGATTCACCATGAACTTACTCAAATGGATGACGCTGGAAGACATAATTAAATGAAATAAGCCAAGCACAGAAAGACAAAAACCATACGATCCATATGATCTCATTCAGCTGTAAACTCAAAACCAACTGATTTCAAAACTATAGTACTGAATAGTGCTCTGCTAAGACTGGAAAGAGTAGGGGACACCATTCGCAGGGTAAGAAAGAATGGTCATTGACAAACACAGTTATATGGGAGTTAGATTTCTTCCTGTTTTATAGAGGTGGAATTTGTGTTTTTGTGTTTATTGAGCACAACTGCTAGTAATTTTAGGGAGAAATGGGTAGAAACACTTTTATTTCCACACCTTAAAACTTGGGCCATACTTTATAAAAATGAATTAGGGTACTTATGATGGACATACTTATTTTTATGTCCACCAAGTATATGTTTGTCAGTCATACTTAGCAGATGTACTAGATGAAGTCATCAGTGTGTAATCTTGGTATATAAAATGATTTTATAAAATGTAGCTGACTGTCCTAAACCCGAGGCTCTGACTAATAGCATCACACATGGAATTAGTAACTAGCCATACACATTGTGTAATCCTTTACATTGAGCATTCTGAGATTTCCAAGGAAGAAAGGGCCACTTGGGTTTGGATCTTCAGGAGGCAGTATGAAGGCAGTGTGAGGGATGGTGGCTAAAAGAAAACCAATTAGGTTGTGATCAGGAGATGAAGAGAACTGTTTGGTTGGAAATGTTATAGAGTAAAAAATGAGTAGGAGATGTGGAGAGCAGGCTGGGGTGAGGCAGGAGCATTCCTTTCAAGCTATTGTAGAAACCCTTTGCCATGTGATTATGAATTGAGAGCTTTTTCAGCATTTAAAAAAACAAACCTTTAATAATATACCCCAAAAATGTTGCTCAAAAGGTTTGGGACCTATAGTCAGGGTTGAAACTTTGTCACATCTATATGCATAAAGATGAGAAGCTACTGTCTGAGATAGAATTAGAAAGAAGAGATAGCTGCAGGAGGCTTTTTAGGGAAATCGCTGGTTTGGAGTGTCTTGACTATAAAAAAAAAAAAAAGGCTCTTCTTTAGTTCACCTTGATTCCAGACCAGATAAATGTTGCTTTCACAGGCAGGAGTAGGTAAGATTGGGGAAAGGCCCATTTTAATGGAAAAGAAGGGGAGAGTATTTCAACATGTTTAGTTAATTTTCTGTGGCGATATCTAGCAAGCACTGTTAGAAACAAGCATTTGGGGTGAACACGTGTGAGCTTATTTTTAACATCGGTGGCTAAATCTTGGCAATAAAAGTCCTCAGTGAAAAGGAAAGAGGAAGTGACTGTGATAAAGCTCAAGACTAAATCCTGAGGGCGTTGATCAGGGAGGGGATGGAGAAAGGCAAAAATTAGATAGGCCAGCCTGTCAGTATGCACACTGGTATACACAGAGATAATGGTGGTGGTCAGTGCACTCTACAGGGTACTGACAAACTTCTGGTTTTCAAATCTGTAGTCGGAGTTTAATGAATACTAGAGAAGTCACCAGTAACACACCATATATATATATATATATATATATATATTAGCATGGGTCGGTGTTTCTGTTGCTGTACCTCAGAAGTCTGAGTGATCTTATTTATAGCAAGCTCTTATCCCAACCACGCTTTTAAAGCATTTTCAGTTCCAGCAGAATGACCACATTCTTGGGCATGGAATTCCTCAGTTCAGTTAATTATATGTTGCTGAGATGTTTACTGTGTTCACTAGATTGTTATTCCCTTGCTCTGCCCTTTACTCCTTCTGGTCCTCCCCAGCTCTGCTTCCAACCCCTTCTCTCTGATTCAGGAAATGGTTTTGTTTGGTCTTCATAAGTAAGATGGTCTAGTTTTTGTATCATATGTCGTTGTCCCATTAGGACTCTGCTTACATAATCTTTCCTATGGTTCAGAAATTCTCTGGATAGGACTTGGTGGAATGGTAATGGAAAATAAATCCAGAAACTAAGTTTTGACTCAGGTTTCCTAAGAGCTGGCTCCTTATTTTCATTGTAAGCTTTCACAAGCTACCCAGGCTCTTTACTCTTCTGTCTCTCCTGTTTGAAATGATAATAGCAATCATTGCAAATGCAATGGAAAGCTTCCCTTTATGGACCACTAGGTGTCCTTGCAGTAAAAAACGAGGAGAGCTGCTCTTTGCAAGTAGAAGGTCTTACTGTTGGTAGTGAACAGCACATTCTGAGTAAGGTCCACTGTGCAGTATTCTGGGGTGCTATTCCCTGTTCTCATCCATGTTCTAGAGTTCTCTCTGTTCTCAGCCGTGTTCTAGAGTTCTCTCTGTTCTCAGCTGTATTCTGGAGTGCTCTCTGTTCTCAGCCGTGTTCTGGAGTGCTCTTTGTTCTCATCCATGTTCTAGAGTGCTCTCTGTTCTCAGCCGTGTTCTGGAGTGCTCTATGTTCCCAGCCGTGTTCTAGAGTGCTCTCTGTTCTCAGCCATGTTCTAGAGTGCTCTCTGTTCTCATCCATGTTCTAGAGTGCTCTCTGTTCTCAACCGTGTTCTGAAGTGCTCCCTGTTCTCAGCCATGTTCTAGAGTGCTCTCTGTTCTCAGCCGTGTTCTAGAGTGCTCTCTGTTCTCAGCTGTGTTCTGAAGTGCTCTCTGTTTTCAGCAGTGTTGCTGTTACATATTGCCCAAGGAAGATCCTGGACATGCTGACTAATTATCTGAACCTTTACCTTTTTCATATAATTGGATGGCCTGTTCCCTTTATAAACATTAAGTCCTAGTGAAGGAATGAAGCTATGACTTTCAAAAACCCAGTAAATAATATTTTGGACTCCAGGTCCTTGATGAACAATGAAGGAATGAAGTTGTGACTTTAAAAGTCCAGTAGACTTTGGACTTCTAACGTATCACAAATAATATGTAATTCTAGTTCCTAAATTAACTGCGGTGATAGCTGGGCAGTTTTGGAAATGAGGACAGTTAACATAGTAATTATGGTTATGGTAAAATTCTGGGCTGACAATACAAAGTCAGATGTTTTTCAATGAATATTTTGTGGCTTACAACTCATCAGGCCAGTGGTGTTGGTTCATTGTATGCTGCACTTAGACTCTGGAGAAGCCTGGTGATTCCAGGCTGGTTATAAGCATGTGAATTTATTGTTTGTATTTGGATGGACAGACAATGTAAGCACATTTTAGAAAAGTAAATTAAAGCAAGTGTCTATTTTGAATAAATTTGAATTTGTGATCTTGATAGCAATAATTCACTGTTACCCTAACAGGACTGCTTAAGGATATATGATGAAACCATCTGCCTTACTTTTCATATTTATTCAAATGATAAAATGTTTGCTTTTTATTTTTTATGAGGGCATTTGTATGGCCACTGGAGATGAAGATGCTTTCTGCTATAGCCACCTTCAGCCTGTGCTTTCTGTGTGCAGGGAGACTCATGCATCTGTATGCAGTGTGTGTAGACTGTCTGGAAGGGGTTCACAAGATCATCTGCATCAAATGCAAGTCCCGGTGGGATGGCAGCTGGCACCAGCTGGGCACCATGTACACCTACGACATCCTGGCTGCCTCTCCCTGCTGTCAGGTTGGTATCAACTGGGAAGTGAGGGTGCAGTGGTTGACACTGGCCTTCTGCCACCAAGGTACTTTAGAGAGTTAAAGGCTGCCTGGTGGTTACTTTGAGGAAGATGTGAGGGCTTGGAGAAGGTACTTCTAAGTGTGAAGAATAATTCAAGTGCCTTAGTTGTTATCGTGTAGAATATTATGTAGTCAGAGAGATATGCACAGTAATAGACTTGGAGTATTTTCCATCTGTTATGTCAGAAAAAAATGTTACAAAACTTACCTTGCTCCTATTTTTTATTTTTTAAAATAATAATAAATAAATATAGATAGATAATAATAAATAAATAACTCTTATTTATTTTTTAAAACAATCTTTTCCCACTTTTCATATTAATCTCAGTTGCCTCTCCCTCCTGTCCCCATACCTGCCACCCATCCATTCCTGAGAGAGTGTAAGACTTACTACCATGGGGAGTCAACAAAGTCTGTCCCATCACTTTGAGGCAGGGCCAAGGCCCTCACCCCTGTATCTAGACTGAGTGTGGTATCCCTCCAAAGAGAATGAGCTCCAAAAAGCCAGTTCAAGCACTAGGGATAAATTTTGGTCCCACTGCCAGTGGCCCTACAGACTGCCAAGCCACACAGCTGTCACCCATATTCAGAGGGCTTATTTTGGTCCTACACAAGTTGCCTCACTGTCTGTTTGGAGTCAGGGAGCTCCCACTAGCTCAGGTCAAGTATTTCTGTGGGTATCCACATCATAGTCTTGACCCCTTTTCTTGTATTATTGATCCTCCCTCTCTTTGAGTGAACTCAAGGAGCTCAGCCCAGTTCTAGCTGTGGATCTTGCTTCCATTTCTAACTAAGCATTAAGTCTCTGCTGAGCTCTGCAGCTGCTCAGGTGGCCTGGGGATTAGATTTCTGTGCATGGTTTCTTTAGTTTTCTTTTTGTTTGCTTGCTTGTAATTTTCTCATTTTGTGTGAGTAATTTGTATTACATTTGCATCAAAAGGTTATAATTTACACTGAAAAAGAAAGTTTTACTTTTTACAACAGACCAAATTTTCCTCTTGCTTACTTTCTGTGAGAGTTGGCAAAACCCAACCCTCTCATTCTTGAGTTTTGTGAGATTGCCAGAAAAATTTATAATTCTTAAAGTGCTAGAAAAGCAGCATTCTTCTCTGACTCTTAGGAGCACCTGTGGAATAACTGTCAGAAGGAAAGGAGGAACGGGTTGACACAAACCTTATTAAATAAGAAACTAAGAAGACAAAAATCCCCAGGAATACCTGAATTTATTATTCCTCATGCTTGAGGAAGAACTTATTACATAATTCCCTGGTAGGCGTACCTGGGTAGCAGGGACATTTTCTCCTATGACCACTTTTTTTCAGTAGATACCAGTTTCTGTTGAGTTCACAGGCTGGCAGAGATAGTAGTTCAACTGTTTGTTTGTTTGTTTATTTTGGATAAAGGCTGACTAGTTTTCTGCTCTTGTGGTATACTGACTACATTTTCAGACTCAAGGTTATCTTTGAAAATGAGTTACCGTAATCTTCTAGTTAATCACTGTCATGTTTTATGGTTACTGCTGTGTCTTAGTGCCCTCTCCTAAGATGAAACTAAAAGAAGTGTCACCTTTCTCTACATATCTGTGATGTAGCAGGAAGGAAGTGAACAAAACTCATGGCACCTTAGTGTTGCATGGGACCTTGCTGAGCTCACCCAGCCTTCTGAGTTGTTGCTTATAATGGATGACTCAAATTTTTGATTGTTTTGCCCAGATCATAACTTGTGTCACAGCTGTGACTAAAACCTGTGATTCCTATTCTGATCTTCTTTCTACTATATGTTGAAAGGCCATGGGATTTTCATATCTTCAAATAGAAATATGCAATGACATCCCGCCCACCAGTCCTCTAGTATTATTGAAGGGGTGTGGTCGATCGGTAGTTAAAAATTAACCAGACTAGCTTAATAGAAAAGATTTAGCTTTAATAAACAGAAGAACGAAAAACTTACAAAACCAGGGTTCCAAGGATCCGAGAATGCAGGTGGCAAAAAGGAAGCGGCAAGCACACTTAGATCTTTTGTTTTGTGTGGCCCCAGGGGGACACACCCTAAGCAGAATGTGATTGGCTGAGGTTCCCCATCATCTCCCCCTTTGTCTAAACAAGACTTGAACTAAATCCAATACAACTATATACAGTAGGAACAGATACCAAATATAACAAACAATATTAAGCCAGAAACATATAACAAAAGTTTTACTAAGGAGTCTAAATAATGTAGAGGGTAACTACACAGCAGATAGTGACTGAACTGCCTTTGAAATTTCCTGCTTCATGGAAATGTCTGCTGGAAACTATGGGCCTGAAGGCTGAAGATGGATGCCCCAACGGTACAAAAAAACTTTGGGTGACTTTCGCTGTGTCCAGACAGCAAGATGTCTCTTTTATTTCTAGAGTTTGGAAGTTGCTTATTTCTTGTTTACTTAGGTAGTATTATATCCTTCTGGAGTCTTTGATGGAGTTGAAGAATGGTTAGTTATAATTATAGTTTTCCTTAATTATGATAAAAGATGAAATAGATATAAATATTGTAACTGTAATTCTTGCTTGACAACTGTTTTGTTGTATGTAATTTTACTATGTTAAAGTGAAAGCCTTTCTTTTTTTGTTTAAACAGAAAGAGGGGAAATGGTGTAGGTGGGTCTTCTGTATTTCTGTTGCTTTCATTGGTTAATTAATAAAGAAAGTGCTTGACCTGATAGGTCAGAACATAGGTGGGTGGAGTAGACAGAACAGAATGCTGGTAGAAAGGCAATGAGGCAGACACTATAGCTTTTCTCTCCAAGATGGACGCAGGTTAAGATCCTTCCTGGTAAGCCACCACCTCATTGTGCTACACAGATTATTAGAAATGGGTTAATCAAGATGTGAGAGTTAGCCAATAAGAGGCTGGAGGTAATGGGCCAGACAGTGTTTAAAAGAATACAGTTTCCATGTAATTATTTTGGGTAAAGCTAGCTAGGAGCCGGGCTGCAGCCCGCCGCTCCCACCACTACAGTATATACTGCATATTTACTCATTAAATATAAGCTGATATATGCCAAGACTATATTTTCTGGTCCCCCTAACTGAAATGGAAATGGAAAACCTGTTTGATTACTCTTTATTATTAATCATTTGAAAGTATTCACTGTGTGGATATACTAGTAGGCGCTACAAAGATTCCAGGTGAGTCTGAGGCAAAAATAACAATAATTGGTTATCAGAAAGGAAGAAAGGAATAACAGGTTAAAGAGAACATTATACTCAAGACTCAGAGAGGAATGAAGTAGCTAAACGGGAGTTCATTTTAGGTTGCAGAAAGATAGTCCGTGTATTGCTGAAATGTGCGCTGTGGAACACATTTAGTTTAAATCCCAGCTGTTCTGTTCTGCTTTCTGTTTTCTTGGGCATGGTATTTATCACTGTGTGCCCCTTTTCGTCATCTGAAATGCAGATTATACTCCCTCACGGGAATGCTTTGAGGACAAATTTGTTAGCACATTTTTAGGAAGGATCTAAATTAAGATTGTTTGATCTGTAATTTCTGCCTATCCATTTCACTCCCAGATCTATTATGAAGGGCTCAGGATTGTGCTGTTAGAGGCCCAGGCCTAGGTGAAGATGTCGCATGCTAGTGAGTTCCAGCAGTCTCAAGATATACAGAGCACTCCTGCCTAGATTGCCAATTTTGATTGGATATTTTTGAGAAATTTTATTTTTATATAAAATAAAGCAATGTTACCTGGAGTCAAATGAAAGTGTATATGAGCTTTTGAAATAAACCTGAACTCTTCAGGAAAGTTTTCATTGTAGGTTTGAGTTCAGGGAGCCAGTTTCAGCCATTTGCTTAAAATCCAGGGGATTGGTGGTTGCTGTTAGGTAACTGGTGGAGATGATCAGGTAGTCTCTCGTTGATAGGCACCTCATATTAATAGAGAACCTGGGAGACTGTCATCTTTAGAAGAATGATAATAAACACCAGAATGTGTATCTTAGATGTGCATACCCTGGATTCTGTTAATAATGGAGATGCTTCTCTGAATTTCAGTCAGTTCCCAGCACTTTGATCAGATGGTTTTAGACGAGTATTGTGAAGCCAGTGACACTGTGATTCATGATGTCTGTTTCTCCAGGCCCGTCTGAACTGCAAGCACTGTGGCAAGCCTGTGATCGACGTACGGATCGGAATGCAGTACTTCTCTGAGTACAGCAATGTCCAGCAGTGTCCACACTGTGGGAACCTGGACTACCATTTTGTGAAGCCATTCTCCTCCTTCAAAGTTCTTGAAGCTTATTGATGAAAGCTTTGCTTTAGTAATAGCTATTTTATTGATATTATTACTTTACTACATATCTTTTATAGGGGAGCATTCTGTGACATTAATTTCTTTTCTAATTTAAAACAGAGTTTACTTTGTATATTTGTGCCACTAAAATGAGGGCTGCCCCTTGTCCTGTCTTAATTCCCAAATGTTGGTGTGTGGTTAAGACTGGAGTGCAAATGGGAAATTGGGCAGATTTTGGTTGGTAGGATTTCAGTCTCCTGCAGAATCTCTGATGCAGTACTAAGGTAGTAGGAAGGATGGGTGCCATTTAGGTGTGGGATTCTGTGATGAAACTGATGGTGTGGTGGGAGTTGGGAGGAAGCTTTTTCTAATGTTAGCTCTCTTGAGTTACCCTCTGTCAGATGTTTGGGCCTTGGGAGAAATAAGTGACAAATGAATGTAAGTCTGAACCTGGACAGCCAGTACTGCATTAGGCTACCTGAACTCTGTTCTTCAGTTCAGGTTGAGGTGCAGTTTACTCCCACTGATAGGCGATTTGAGAATAGTTCTGAGTGCTTTCTTTGACAATTTGTATAATTTAACAGTTTTCATACCGGAAATAATATCCAAATTATATGACACTTGAAAACTGTTGCTGTTGTAAATGTTTTAGGTGAGCTGAATATAACAGGTCTTGTGAAGTGAAATTGGAAATGATGCACACTGAATTAAGGAGGGCAGAAAGGCAGAACGTGGTTTTTTGGATCGTGCCTCTAGAAGCTGGTCAGAGAACCTACAGAAAATTTGCACATGCTGTAGGTTTGGTGGGCATTGTTTAGAGATTGCATTGCTGAAGCAGTTGCTTGATATCCAGATCTTCTCAGAGGCAAACTTCTAGCCTAACTGCTGTGCTCCAGAACCAGTCATGCTACACTTCTCATTGTATCTACTGCCACATTAGCCCATTTAATACTGAGTTCTCAAAATCAGAGTTGACCTAGGAAGGAAGGGGAAATTGGTTAGAATGATGAAGAACAGTTTTTATTCTTTTAAAAGTATGTTTTCATTTTGGTAGCAGTAATGCAAAGAGCATATTTGAAAATAGATCATCCTAAAGATTTCCATGATTCCTCACTGTTCCTTAAAAAGAAAAGTTGCATACGGAACACCAGGTATTCCGGAATTCACTGGAACTTGGATACTTAAATGTGAAGATATTCCTCATAGAATTAGAATTAGAGAATTACTTCTCATGAAGGAATTTGGTGATTTCAAGTATGATACAGAAATATACATTGAAAGAGTACTAAAATAATTGTCTTCTGGATAGGCAAATTTGGGGTTCGTGTAAATATTTTATATCACTTGGTTTATGCCATCCCAGGGGATTTTCTTTTCATAATTGTCTAAACATTATTGCCAATGAGTTTTACATTCTACAGAAGTCTTGGTGTTTAATTTTAAACAAGAGCATTTAAGAACCTATGCTAAACTAAGATTTTTTGTTAGTTGGTTTGTTACTTCTGGCTTTGTGTTTGATGATCTGAAAAGTTTCATAATCTGCAAGAAATGCTCAAGTTGCATAGGACAAACAATAGTCATTATCGATCAGATGGTGTTTAATACAACTACGTTAGATCTATAGGACATAATATTTGCAAATTTGTCTTTGATTCACAAAGCTGTAATTATGAGTTAGCTGTCTTCCTATGAATCTGTTGTACACTCAAGTTTAAAACTTTGGTAAGTTTCTATTCAAATTCCGTATTTGTCTTCATGTTTGTTCCTGATTTTTAGAATAAATAAAATACTTGTAATGCTGTTCTTTAACCTATTGACATTTTCTAGTAAAACTACATTATTGTTCTGAAGTCAACCTGTGTTTTGCACCCAGTGAGTTCTTTAGTTTGAAAAAACAAACAAAAAACCAAAACTGTGGAACTGTAAGCCACATTTTATTCTTGCTCCTTAGTTTGTTTTCTGACCCCTACATAAAGAAGTTTCACTATAATTGGATAACATTTGCTTTTGATGTTATGTTGATAATAAAACGAGGACTATAGATGTGTGTAGTTATATACAAAGAGAAACATAAGCCCCATACTCTAATACTTTTCATTTGCTATATTGTTGATTAATTATAATTTTGTCTGAAAAGGAAAATTTGGCTGATTTAAAGAGTAAAATAAAGTTGACTGTACAATCCTTGCTTTGTAGGTAAATTTTACTTTGGAAATCTGCTGACCTTAATGTTTTCACCAAACTTTGCCAGAATACATTGGTTAGAATTGGAATGTGTCAAGAAAGATCACCACCATTTTTGTTGTAGTTGCAATATTAAAGGGCTTCAGTTGTTGTCTGAGGTTTCTGTCCTGCCTAATTCTGCAGTTATTCATTCCCAAAGAATCACACAGAGGTCTACATCAATTATAAGCTAATTGGCCCAGTATCTCAGGCTCTACTTATTAACTAATCCTTATAATTTATATTAACCCATAATTTTTGTCTGTGTGGGCCATGTGCCTTGGTACCTTTTTCGCGAGGCAGTAACATCTGGCTTTCTCTGCGGCTGGGTCATGACTGGAGACTGAGCTTCCCTCTTCCCAGAATTCTCCTGTTCTCATTGTCCCACCTCTATTTCCTGCCTGGTCGCCCTGCCTATACTTCCTGCCTGGCTACTGGCCAATCAGCATTTTATTAAAAATAATACAAATGACAGGATAAATGGCCATTGTTCCACAGCATTCAGTCATCCAGGAGATCTAACTTCTGTTTTTCTCATGAGTAGTGTCTAGTAATTTGTAGTTTTGAGATTGACTAATAATCTAAAGTGATTTTTATCTAATTTAACACTTCGAGTCATTTATTTTTAAAGAGTTCCATACTTTGAACAACTAAAACTTGTCTGCTTCCGTTTTGAGAGAAGCTAATTTCTGATCATTTTCTCTTCAGGCCTTCTCAACTCTCCTTTTTCATCTGATCACACAGTCACATCAAAAACACTTGGTAACAGTGATTTTATATCTTTAAAGGTAGACTTTATTCCATGAAATGAAGGGATGAGTGAATTGTTTTCTGATTTACAAAGGACTTTTTTCAGCATTCTTTAATTTCCAATTTTTGTAAAAATGGGTTCATTTTTCTAAGTAAAGAAAATTTTCATACCTTTTTGGGAAAAAATTAACTTATGACAGAAGAATATTATATGTTTAAATGCTAAAACTTAACATATTGATTCATAACTTGCTAGACTACCTTCCTGAGTCCTTCATATTATCTTACAGTACCAGTGCTAACTGTGTAGTCTGCACTGTGCCTGTTTTCTAACTTGTTTTGTTTTCTTTTTAATCTTTTGAAGCACTTATTGAGTAGTTTCAGTTGAAAGATCAGGGAAGAGGTGAGGAGAAAGCACTTTTGTTTAGGGTGTGAGTCCCATAACAGAATGCTGCCTAGCTCAGTTCATCGTCATACTTGTTGACTTTATTATTTTTCCAGGTAATGAAAAGAAAATATAATGAATGGACACCATGAAAACCAGCTCAAAAATATGTTGTCTGTAAAGACTTTTTTGTCAAAATGTTTGGATTGCACTTTTGAGGGAAGCCAGTGTAAATACTTAAAGAATGTTGATAAAATTGAAGCATTTGGGTTATGGAATTGTGTGGTGTTAAAGGGTTTCTGTATGTGAAAGGTATGTATTAAGAATAATAAAATTTTAGAAATGTTGAACTTTAATGTGTTACTAGATTTTGTTGGAATTTTTGAAAAATGGGGTTTTTGATAAGAAAAGATAGTAGAGAAGTAGGAATAGTCTCAAGATTTAATATATATATATACTTAATATATATATACATATATATATATATGTATTTATATCTAGAAAGCCATTCCAAAGTACTACTGCAACTAATAAAAACTATAAATTCTGGGCTAGTGAGGTGGCTCAGCAGGTAAATGTAGGAGGAGGGCCTGCTTGTTAGTCCCAGCCATCCAGCTAGCTTAGCCCCGAAATAACCACAGAAATTGTATTTATTAAAACAGTAGTTGGCCCATTAGCTCTATCTTCTTACTGGCTAACTCTTATATTTAACCCATTTCTATTAATCTGTATATTGTCATGTTGCAGTGACTTACTGGCAAAGATTCGGCATGTAGGACTCTGGCGGCTCCATGGTGTCTCCCCTGCTCTGCCCTTCTTTCTCTCAGCATTCAGTTCTGTCTTCCCTGTCTATCCAAGTTCTGCCCTATCAACAGGCCAAGGAAGTTTCTTTATTCATTAATTATAATGACAGCACACAGAGACTCCCACATCAGGTAAAGGTACCCACTACCAAATTTAACAACCTGAGTTTTATCCCCAGAACCCACATGGTGGAAGGAGAGATGAACTCCAAAAAGTTGTCCTCTTACCAGAACATGTATGTTGTTGTGCATGCACACATGTGGTAGATAAATGTACAAGAAGGAGCGCAGAACCACAAGTACAGGTTCTTCACTGCTTACAAGTGTATATCGCATGTAAGTTTCCTTTGCAACACAATAATAGCAAATCAGCCTTCCCTTTGTTTCATGTGGGCAATATAAAATTATTGTTCTGTTTACAAAGAATTTTGTGGTGTAGAGAGTGTTAAAAAATTGAAAGAGTATGGCTTTGATGCACTCCATATCCATAGATACTGTCTTAGTGTTCTGTTGCTGTGAAGAGGAACCATGACCAAGGCAACTTTTATAAAGGAAAGCATTTAATTGGGGCTGGTTTACAGCTTCAGAGATTTACTCCATTATCATCATGGGGGGCATAATTGCAGGCAGGCAGGCAGGCAGGCAGGCAGGCAGGCAGGCAGGCAGGCACTAGAACTGTAGCTGAGAGCTTTACAGCCTTATCTGCCTGCAGGCAGGGAGAAAGAAAGAGCTAAGACTGGGCCTGGCATGGACTTTTGAAACCTCAAAGTCCACCCCTAGTGACACTGTTGTTCCTCCAACAGGGCCACACTTCTAATCCTTCTGTTTCTTTCAAACAGGTCTACTCTCTGATGACTAATCATTTAAATATATGAGCCTATGGATACCATTCTTTTTCACATCACCACAGATATGTAGTCAAAACTTAAAGTTCTCTTGGTTTTTCCAGAATGCTAGTTCTAACTACAAAACATGCTTTATGTCTTCATCAGCATGATTTGATGAGATTAACCCAGAAGTCTCAGAAAGAATGTGTAACAGCCAGTAATACAAGACGGCAAAATCCTTATGCTCTGTGAAAGATGCTGCTGATGGCTTTGAGTAACCTTCCCACACTTCCCCTTTGAGCCTTTGTAGGTTTCAGGTGCTGTGATTTCTACTGCGTGGAACTGCTGTCAGCAAAGTGCCATTGCAGCGTGGGAAAGCTCTGCTCTTAACGCCAGTGGTTGCCCTCAGTGGTTTCCAGCTTAAATCTTGCCTGCTGTCTTGATTTAAACTTGACAAATTCTATAAGTAATTTGATTGGTTTTATGGGTGGTTTAATAAATAAATTTTGGAAGGAAAAAACTTAAACATTTGTTCTTTTACTGTTCTCTCAGCTTTTCACACTGGGGGTAGGGGATGCTGATGAATGTGAAATGTGCATAAAGAGAGTACTATGTAGATGTAATATTTGAAATTATTTTAATGTATACTTGTGCTAATTTTATAGACTTGAGCTGGTTTTGCCAAGCCATGAGAATAGCAAAAAAGAATAAAGGACTTTGATTTATGGAGTCCAGTAGAAAATTGGTCACACTTAACAACTGTTAATGGAATTGGTGTTTATGGCCCCATTTCTTTATGAGTATCATGTCAAGTGTTGTGATAATACTGGCTTAAAATGTTGATAATACTTGACAATGCCATAAAATAAAGTTTAGAACTGTGTAATTATATTTGTAAGCCCAATTACTACAGATGTGGAAAAGTCAATAACTGTAGAAATGATAGAATTTAGAGATGTGTGAGTTTACAACAAGGGCTGTGCTTTTCATTTTACTCATGTGGTCACTGTTTATTAAATGATGTTGCCTGTGTTTCATTTTAAAGATGTGTGGAGGCCCAAAGAATTTTAAAATTGATATAGGCTAGATGGCATATCCAGCTTATAGGACTTTTTCTATTTTGCCTCTTGTTTTCTGTAACCATTTATAAACTTCCTTCGGTATAGTATTGACATCTACTGCCTGACAAAAGACTTTGTAGAATGAGAATTTTCTTTATTTTGCTTCTGATTTGTATTGCCTTTGTTATATCTTGGTGGATTAGGTTATTTTCTGATGACAAGGTTAACAATCTGGGACCCAGAGGAATGACAGTATCCTATTACTGTGAAGATACACCATGACCATGACAACTCTTATAAAAGAAAGAATTGAATCAGTGCTTGAGTACAGTTTCAGAGATCCAGTGTCGTCATGGTGGAGAACCTGGTAGCAAGCAGGAAGACATAGTAATGGAGAAGTTAAGATTTCTGTAACTGGATCCACAGGCAGCAGGAAGAGACAGTGAGCCTGACTTGAGCTTTGGAAACCCTGAAACCCAACCCCAGCAACACATTTCCTTCAACAAAGCCACATTTCCTAATATCTGTCAAGTAGTTCCACTTCCTCATGATCAAACATTCAAATGAATATATGAGCCGTGAGGCCATTCCTGTTCAAACCACCATAATCCACTCCTTGGTTCCCATAGACTTGTAGCCATATCATAATGCAAAAATGTATTCAGTCTAACTTCAAAAGTTCCCATGATCTATAACAGTCTCAACACTATTTGAAAGTCCAAAGACTCTTCTGAGACTCACGGCAATCTCTTAACTGTAATTCCCTGAAGGAAAAAGCAGATCACATACAATGGTACAGAATTCCAAAAGGGAGGAAAGGGAACATAGAAAATACTGGACCAACACAAGGCTGAAAACCAGATGGGGAAACTCCAAACTGAATAAAATGAGCCTACTGTATGGAAAGCAGTGTTAATCCCATAAGTCTTCCCAATAGGATTGTTTTGGTAAGTAAGTCCCACCTTCCAGCAGTGGTACATAAGATGAAATATTTGACACAGAGATTTGAGTTGATGAATTCACAGAGCAAACATTTGAAAACATTCTATGTGTAGTTTTAGGGGAAAAATACTTGAGATGTATCTTTTACCTATTTTTCAATGATTAATTTGTTAGCATCTTTTTTCATCTCAAGATAAATTACTGCTGGAGGAAAACTGGCTAGAAGGTGACATTTTAACAATATACTCTTGAAACTATTTTATTCCTTTTGGGATCTTTGAGCTATTTTTGAATTCATACATGTCGAGCTGTCAAGTTTGATATACCATTGATAATATCCAGTTTGGTCATGGTTTTGCTTTTTGATTAACTTTTTAGACAGTTTTTATATCTTACAATCCATTTTCAGTTTCTCATGATCTTGTCTGAAATGCTGGTATCCTAGTTTGAGGGTTACTGTACTTGATCATTGTATCTGAGTCTCTTTGAGTCTTACTAGAGTAAAAGTACTGTTCTATACATTTTTTTAGCTAACATTTCTCATGCCTTGGGGACTATATCAGTTACTTTTCTGTTGCTGTAGTTAAAAAACCATGGCTGAAAGAACTTGAGGAAGAAAGTTTATTTCTTGTTTATGATTACAAAGGCCTAGCATCCGTAATGGTACAGAAGACATGACATGCTGACAGGAGCAGGAAGTTAGTAATGTTTTTGTCCACAGACAGGAAGCAGAGAACAATTAGGAAGTAGGATGAGATAAATCCTCAAAGTCTGCCTCTTCTGTGGTAATGCACTGCCCCTCACCATGTCTGCATCCCCTAAAGGTTCCATAAGCATTTGAATACATGTTCCTATGGTAGACATTTCTTATCCAAACCACTAGAGAATAATTGACGATAGTGTTAGTAACTCCAGAACTATAGGGTGGCAATCAATTTTATACATCTTTGTTCATCCACATTAACTAATTTAACTTCTGAAGCGCTGGTATAATGTTGATTAGGGAAATAAGGACAGAGGAAGGCCACAGGTAAGCATTTCTTTGATGCCTCAGAACCCTATGGATCTAAAAAGAGTAATTTGGAAAAAAGTCTGAGATAAGTGAATATTTTAGAGACCTTAGTGGAAATGATAAGGTTATCACAAGCCTGCACAGGATGTCTGAAAGGTCATGTCATTTTGTGCAAGGATTATAGCAACTATGACTGTCTCCAGTGGTAGAGAAACATTGGTAGAAGTTTGTGCTTTTGATGGATAATATATAAGAACATAAATTATTAATAATTAGTGTCTTGTAGACCTTTCAAATTATGAACTTGATATATTGAGTGGGAAGATAGTTTTTGGCAATGGTAGAATTGACAAATGCCATTAATATGTCTCCACTTTTTTCTAATCCCTTTTATTTATTGAAATGTTTATCATATGTTTTCCTTATCTACTATCTTCTGTCTTTTCTCCTTACTTTCTTGTTGCATCAAGTTTCCTAATCATCAGGATATGATAAAAGCTCCCAGATAAGCTGTTTTGTGACAATTCCTGGAGAGACATGATTATACAACTACTCACCCCAGATGGGGAAGCAGTGACTACCAAAGGGCAGATACCACTATAGTCCATCTTAGCAAACCCCTCTGAGTGTGTTCTTTAAATTTTTTGACTGTAAAGGAGCTAAGTATGGAGAGACATTTCGTTGTATGGGCTGCTAAGCTAAACCAATGTG